TTGCGAGTTTAAACACTCTGAACATATTCTCTTACAACATAGGCAAGCAGATTTTTCTTTACAATAAAAAATTACAAATAAAAAAATATATTTTTTACATATACACACATGGACCCACCTACTAATTTTAGACACATCAGTTTATGGCTCTATAATTCCAGTGGCACACATTTTCTGAACTTCACTGACCTTCTCTCAGGAAGGGGGAAACCGTGTATATGTGCACCTACAACAAACAAACAGAATGTGATTTCCTGTCAAGTATAGGAACTGATATGTAAAATGTATTAGAAGTAGGGCACCATTCAATATGATAACCGGAAAGTATAAATCACTGTGGTGCTAAAAACTACACCAAAATACGAAAATATTTAAATGTTTAAATGAGTCTGACGTATGGGAATAACATGAAAATTTTTATTGAATTGTAACTTACCATAATCAGTCCATCTAAAACACAGTTGCATACAGCGTCGTTTTTCACGAAAACACATTTTAATTAAAAACAAAATGAATGAAACAACATTTAACTAAGAATACAAGAACAGAAATAGAAATACGAAAAAACGTAGCGGTTTGATGACACATGAATGTCTCGATGACAGAAATGATGCTTCTTCTCAGCCATGAGATGAAATGATGTTTACGATTATATAAAAGGTGGCGCCACTTTCCATACAAACCGTCGTTCTTCTAAGTTTCCACCCCCTGCGTTACACTGCGCATGCGCGAAGCTCAGACGTGGATTACGTCGGATTTGCCATTACAAATTATAATACCTACAAGAAGTTTTTAATGTTATGATAGAATAAAATAATAAAAAATATTTCTTATAAATAAATCTACACTAAGAGAGAATTTGTTTCTGAGTGGGACACATAGTAAATCAATAAGTCGCCAAAGTTTCATCCGCAGAGAACAAGGGTATAGCCAATTTCGCCATGGTGCCCTCTACGAATTTCAAGGACAACCAGTTTCTATACAAGCGAGTTACGGAGTCCTTTTATTGTTATAGAAAAGAAGGGTTGTCGGACTAACCGTGGGTCAATTTAATCACATAAGCTAACGAGTTTTTATAAATATGTTTCCCGTATTATCACGAGTTATTGTTCCCCTGCTACGATGCGTTAGTACGTTACATATAACAGTTATTTTTTATTTTTTATTTTTTACATCAAATTTTGATTCTAATGCTGGGTTACGATTAGCATGGAAATGAGTCATATAAATTCTGTATTTTTAACGCCTAACAAAATTCACGAGCAAATTTGTAAAACGAAAACTGGACGGAAATAGTAAAGACCGACTTTATTTGACAAATTCTATCATAAAATAAGAGAAACGACACCTTTACATAATTAATATTAATCTACTGTTAGGACTTGGATTAGAATAACCGGCTGTACTTGAGGTTTATCGAGTAGTGTGAGAGCAAATAGCAGTGGGGTCAGGTGATCTGGAACACGATTTTCCACTCAGATCTCTGACTAAAAATCAATGCATTTTAAATGTCTGACTAAAACAAAGATAAGTGGCTAGTTATCATAACTTTTCTTATATAATTCTGTGGCTTATTGTGACGTAAAAAAATTCAAAATTATGATTGTTGTTTAATATCTGAAATTGATGAACATATTTCAAATCCGTGTCGGTTATTTCTCATATTCGTTACGTATCAAGTCGAACGGATTTCCGAAATGAAGCGCCGGAAATTGAAGCCCGTATATCACGGATACAGTTCAGATATGCCTTACTGTGGCAGATTTACTCTAACTCTGGATTTCCACTGACGAAATACACGTACTAACACATGTCATTCTTAAATAAACATAGATAACAAGATAAGAACTCATCAATTTCAAAAAGTTTTTTTTTTAATTTTTAAGGCACAACCCTTCTTATGAATCAAAAAGTTTTATCGCGATTATTCCAGTGGTTTATGGTGTTGTAAATATTTTCTAAGTCTAAGTATGGAAAGATTCCCACAGCAAACATGTCAACTTCTTCCTGAAAGTAAAACTGGTCTAAATTCGCATCGCAAGTGAAACTCGGAAGGGCATGTTGTAGCAATGTTGTCCGCCATGCCGTGCTGTAGGTAAGAACTTGCCCATTTATGTCCACAGCTGAGTATTACGTGAACCAAGAATGCCGGAACTGGATACTTAGTACTGCAAAATATATCCTGATTTAACTGACTCATCATAAGTGAAGATATTTTTGTTTTTCTTTAGAAGATGGCGTGGCTTTTGGTGATAATTTTTCCCACAAATAAATAAGACAACATAAAATATTTAACATACATTTGTTGGGCACACCTGAATCGTAACAAAACAAACTAACGATTTTTTAAGCAATATTATATTAAAAAGTAGTCTTACTCTTTTTTTTAAATGGCGCCAAATGCTCGATATGCCGTGAAAATAGAATTTATTGCATACGATTTGTTCGTTTTTTTTTTAATTACCACGTCGTTCCCCGCGTAGAATTTTTGCGAGTTATGCGCAATTTTATTGCAGGGTGGCACAACGCATGACCTACTTTCGCTTCAACTGAAAATGCTTTAAAAATGACAACACAGCCCGCGTCAGTTAATTAATAGAAAGTAATACTTTGAATATATAATAGTTGGCCATCATTTCTGATGAAGATTATTAATAATAGTTTCCTCTATTAAAAAAACAAAAGAAGTTAAAACGAGATAATGAACCTATTTAAATTCTACAAGCAACATTAATGACTCCGGTATGGTCTTCAGAAATTGTTACAGATTTTCTATGATTCTGTATTATTTCTTATAGCACCACATAAAAGTGACAACGCAGTAATACCGGTCATTTGATCCCCGACCGTCGGCGTCGTCTGAGACGTGTTCAGTTCACCTGCACGTATGTACTTTCCTTTCATTCATCTCTCTAACGTGTAGAGTGACCACATACTACTAAGGCAGTACGGAAAGTAAATAGTGAAAGTATTAAAAAAAACATGCGATTTTATGTTTTACGTGCCAAGTTTTTGATAAGAACACATTTTCACAATCTTTCTCCACAGTTCAGAAGACATTTTTAGTAGTAATATATTGCCGCTTGGTAGTTTCATTCTTAGTATCTAGAACAAACATTTATAAAAATCCTTCCTTAAAATATGTACAACGTATGATATTTATTCCATCATACACAAACAGCGACAACTACAAACGATGGCAAGTATCAAATATTACAAGTATATTAAATATAGAATGTCCGTAAATGTTGTGTGACGTGGTTACAATATAATGAGCGGAGGCTCGTGATAAGAGGCTTCTTGTCATCTGCGCGCGCGCATCGCTCCGTGCGCCCGCGTTTCATCTCGCATACATCCAGTTTCGCAATTTTGTGCGCTAATTAATCACAATAAGGGCGATAATTGAGTGACTTGTTGGTTTTATCGTGATTGTGATAAGGACATTTTTTTCCTTGTGCGTTTACGTGTATAGTTTGCTGATAATTTTTGAACGTAAAATAGGTAAGTTTTTGTTTATTCTATTTTTTACTCTATTATTTATGAACATTTTTACAAGTATAAGAGGAAATTTTTGGATTTCTTTAGCAATGAAAATTAATAAGTACATATATTTATAATATTAAAATTCATCGGAGTTTTTCTTTCTTTCCAAGTGTTAAAGGCGTCTCTGTTAAGATAGTAAATAAATTACAAAACATAAGTGGCATCGGTAAGCTTAGAGCGCCAATAGCCTAGTGGTTAAGGTTACGGATTTCCAATCACGTGGTCGAGAGTTCGAATCCCACAATTCGACTATTATCAAAAACCATAGCCTATAACAAGCCCAGAGGTCACTTGGAATAGTATAAGAAATATAAGTAAATTAACAAAAATATGCTAATATAAAAACAAAATCAGTAGTTAGGTGATGCACGAAAGGTCTTTATCGATATCGTCATCAAAGGAAGACAATGTTTCCTTTTCTCACCGTGTATAAATTATTAAATCATAAAGTAATATGGAGAACTGATCGCCAACCTTCGCTAGTCGGAGAGGCACCTCAAGAAGAAGAAGAAGAAGAAGAAGAAGAAAGCAATTTAGATATGTGCATTCTTACGTTGTATTACTATTGACATTAGCAAACAATCGCTCAGTCAGAAAACATGACAAAATAGCCTTCAAATTAAACGACTTCCTGAGATATTTACACAAAAACTGCAGTTTACTTACTGCGACTGATTGTATGTAAAAAGTTAAAAGTCACAGTAATCCTGAGACAAAACCGAGTCTCTTAGAATAATCTTTAATATCTCTAACATAATTGATAAATTGTTTTACTGGCCTATGACATATCAAGTGTGTCCGATGCTTGTTTGCTTGTGATAAATATTAATGCCGGTTACAAATTATGTATATTTATTGCGAAAATAAAACTTTCATTGATGTTATTTCCATTAACAAGAACAAGATTTTTTTTCCCATAATGCGAACATGTTCAATGTTGCTGTATAATACGATGAATAAATAATACAATATTGTAGATATATTTCCTTTATCTGTATTCTAATTGCAAATTATAATTTAAATATAAGCAATCAAGGTTTTAGAATTACTAATATCTAAGTTCGTCCGCTTTCTCTGCTTTCATCTTACTAATATTATAAATGCGAATGTTTAGATGGATGGATGTTTGTTTGAAGGTATCTCCGGAACGGTTCAATGGATCTCGCTGACATTTAGCACAGATGTAGAACAAAGACTGGTAGAACACATAAGCTACTTATTTTAATACCGCGCGGACGGAATCACAGGCGACAGCTAGTGAATTTATAACAATAAAAAGAAAAAAGCTCCTTATCTTAATCCTAATCCTAAATATTTCCGCCGTCATAATTTAGTATGATACTGTTTTATCATCAACAAAATTTTCACATAATTGAGTCACCGTTGGTTTCTGAGGCCAAATACTCTGTATATTAATACTGTCATCCCTATCATCTTAGACAAGACAGAGATAACAATATGTTTTGAATAGAGATTTTGTTGTCAGAAACCCACGGTTATCTCTAATCAAACACTTAAGTTTTTTTATGAATATTTTACTCAAAGAAGATTTGTTATTAATCATGCATTTATTTTTATAATGCATAAATGTAACTTTACAAAAATATTACTAGGATTACAAAAGAATATTTTATTAATTCACTAGCTGTCGCCTGCTACTTCATCCGCGCGAAATTAAAGAAAAATCTAATTAGTAGCCTATGTGTGCCAAATTCATCAAGAACCATTGAGCCATTCCGATACCTTCAAACATCCATCCATCTAAATATTCACATTTATAATATTAGTAAGATTATTTACGTATGCAAACTCTTTATTTTTTTCAGTAATAACATGTCAATAAAGTACTGTAAATAAAATATTAACCCCAGGAACTGATGTACGTTTTGATGTGACTATAACTTTTTATATTTATAGTACGATTGTCTGTGTGACCGCAACACAGCCTTGTGATTTACTGCATCCATCGATCATATTTACGTAACCTTTATACCATTCTGAAGGATGACTTTTATATAAGAAACGTGACTTTACTGTAAATTAAATAAACTCGTTTTAAGATCTAGCTGTTGCACGCAACTCCGTCCGCGAAGATTAAAAAAAACTTAATCAGTAGTCTATATTAAATGTGTTCTTCCAGAGCCATATGTCATATGTCATTAAGCCAAATTTCAACGAAATCCCTGCAACCATTTTGGATACGTTCTAACAAACATCCATCGATCCATTAATCCAAACATTCGCATTTATAATATTAGTAAGATTAAGAATGCGAAATCATCCAAATTCGGCGAGTTTTAAGACAATTTAGCTTAAAACTTGTTTTCACTAGGATTGATAAAATTAGTAATATTCCTAGTTATAAACAGTTTGTAGGAGAACGTCTACTAAATATTTCGACAAGATACATGCATGCACAATATGTGACTGAGATCAATTGTTACGATGCATATGTAATAGGAAATGCTAAGAACTTTCATACGATACTCTTTGAATGCTAAATATATATAGAATAATCGAGAAAACTTGTTTCTTTACTTGCTACCAATGTTGCCTCTCTAAATTTGCATCTACAAATGTACATTTTGTGTAAATAAATTATTTTGGGATGGTTCAAGAAAGCGATTTTTACTCGTACAATAAAGCTATGTTCATAGAAATGAAATTCTTTTCTTATTAATATCTACGCATCTACAATTTCTAATTTATGAGTTTACTAGCTTACGCCCGCCACTCCGTTCGCGCGCCATAAAAAGAACTTAATTACTCTAGACAAGGTCCTATATCAACGCCAAATTTCATCGAGATCCGTTGAGTCGTTCTGGAGATATTCACACTTTCAAACATTCGCATTCAAATTAAAACTAGATGTCGCCCGCGACTCTGTTGGCGTGAAATTAAAAAAAAACTTAGTAACCTATAAGTTCTTACTGACTATGTTCTATATGTACGCCAACTATCAGCGAGATCTAAGCAGCCGCTCCGGAGATACCTTCAAACAACCATCCATCCATCTAAACATTCGTATTTATAATATTAGTAAGATTAGGAAGAAGTAAGATATAATTTATATCCTTTTATTGATTATGTCGCAGTCAAGAATTCTAAGTATCACTTGACCACGTTGTTTCAGTCACTTACATAACCTAACGAACAACTAAATGCAGTAATTTAACGTGAAAATGTTTACTGGCTAAAGATAATTGCGTCGTGAAATTAAAAAACATTAAAACACTAATCTGTACGAGCAGAATCATTGTTCTCCGCTGAATACTAAACGCCACATCGTTTTGTTATTTTATTTGCTTTTCTATGTAACACGTAACAATTGTCGGTCAGCCATTTTGTTGTAAATAAATGCTAAGATTTTAAACAAGATAAGAAGTACAAGATAGTTTTATTTAATTCGTTTTAATATTTTTGTAGTAGTAGTAACCAAAACATTTTAATTAATTTAAATAAATTCTTAAACGCTGTAAACCTTTTAAATTTTTTTAAACTAGCGGTCTCCCGCGATTTCGTCAGCGTAGAAAAGAAGCCTATAATATTCCCGTGCGTCAGCTACCTTCCCTTCAAAGTCGCATCAAAATCAGTTAACCCGTTCCGGAGATTATCTGGTACAAACGTGCTCTTGCGATAGACATACACACAGACAAAAAAAATCAAAAATTGTTTTTTCATTAACAGTTTCGCAAATAAATTATGTGTACAAAATATGTTTATTTTTCGATAATATACTAACACTCTAATTTTAGTAGTATATGTATAGATTCCAGTGAAACACAAGTATGGAGGTATTATTGGCACCTTTTAGGTGGCATTTCCGTCCTTACATAAAATACAATGTGTTGCCTAATTCATAAAATACAAAGTGCGTTAAGTAAGCAACGTATTATGCGTAGAACGATAAGTTTAACAACTTTAGGAAACTGAAATAGGTTATGCTAATAACAAGTTATTGTTACCATCATTGAGTACTATTAAACCAGTACTGGCTTCTAATGGGTTTTTAAAGATAAAAATATTTTCGTTTTTTGCTAATTAAACGCTGTGTTGCCAACAAAAAAATCTGTGAATTTGAAACTACTGACTTTTATTAGTAAACAAACATGAACCAACATTAACGTTTCTCAATTATTTTCCTTATATAACTTCGTAGGGTTCACGAATGTGCGTACCGCAAAGGATTGGTACAAGTTGCCAGCCTCGGTTTTTCCGTCCAAATATGATATTGGGACCTTCAAAAGTAGAGTGAATTGGCACTTACTAAGCTAGCGCGTACCATCTTTGGACCAAATCTCCACTTCACCAGGTGGGATCGTGGTCAAGCGCTAGCTTATAAAACGTAAAAAAAAGAATGGATCCTTTACGGTGCCCTTATTTGAATAAGTTTCCCTTTAAAGCTATAATCTACCAGCTAAATATATGTGACTGTGGGTTTCTGAAATCAAAATCCCAAAAACATATCTCTGTTTTGTCAAAAATTAAAGACAGGTATGACAAAATCTATTTAGCGTTATTTACATTGATAATTTTATAAACCTTAGCTTAGTATTACTACTTAGGTATAGGTATAGGTCTTATGTACAAGTACATAGTTATGTATTTAGCTTGTGTGTCGTGATGTAATGATAAAGATAAGATCGTGCTCGACACGTTATCATTAAATGACGGCTTGAGGTGAACGTCTGTTTACACTGTTATCATCTCGCTACGTACGTGAAGGTACGTGCAAGACTTACACCAACCTTGAAATCTTCTCACGTTTAATAATTAATACTAGCGGTCGCCCGCGACTTCGTCAGCGCAGAATTAAAAAGCCGAGTACTCTATAATATGCCCGCGTGTATCAGCTATCTTCTCTATCAAGTCCCGAAACAAACACGGCCTTGCAGACAGATGAAAATGAAAAAAAAAATGGTTTTCGTTATCAGCTACGCAAATACATATATCATGTGTATAAAACATGATTTTTTTTTCGATGTTACATACAGACACTTCGATTTATTTATATAGAGGTATAGATTGTTGATTATAGAGATATTACAAATTAGTTTTAAACGTTATTAGTTACAATCCTTTGGCACAAATGGCGCGCTTTTGTAACCAAGTGTCAGATTGATTAGTGAGGGGACATAAACGTTGACATTTTTAATAATGCTAGTGTTGCGCCGATACCCTAGTACAGTGTCGGATTTTCTTCCTAACATTAGTTAGGTATTTACTTAGTGTCCGTTTCCATAGAATTCGCATGCAGTGATACTTACATTAATAAATATTGTTTTCTCTGTTTTGTTTAAGCGAAAATAAGGGATAACGATATGCATTTATGTATGAGTCACTGCAGTGGAGTTGTATAATTAGTGATGTTTATTTAGTTGTTTTAAAAAAGCCAATAAAGATAATCATAGAAAAAAAACTTAAAAGAAAAGTTCATTGAAGTTTACCATCTTACTTTTTTGTATTTAATGAGAAATTTTATCAAACATCTCTCTTCGGCATAACTTTTAATTAGTCTAAAGGCACCTTCATACTTTTAAACTAAATGCATTTATAAATTTCTTTCACGTTAATGAGATACCAAGGAGTTTCACTTTTGAGTTTACGTACCGTGGAGACTGACCGTGTGTTTGCTGAATAAAAATACTTCAACAAGAAACAAGTAAATGGTGACTTAGAAAAAAAACATTGAACATATTTCGTTTAAAGTCTAAAGTCTAATTGGAGCACTCAAATATGAAATTTCTCTTTAAAAAAAAAATGTTTTTATATGCCCAAACATTTCTAGACACCAATAGTAATGTTTAAAAATATTTTCTCACAAGACAAATATGGCCACTGGTGCAACATTTGCTTTAAAACAATATCGTAATATAATCGAGATTTCACTGCAAAGATGCGGAGCAGATAGTGGGCAGTACTTTGACGCCGTCTTTAGTGATGGTCTTCACCTGGAAGTTGGCGAGGTTCATGAACAGTCGCAGTTGAACCTCCCGCACGCAGCACATCAACACCTCGTACGCGTTCTTCTCTGATAAATCTACAATTAATGACAAAATTTAACTTGTCTCTGAAGTAGCAAACACTTCCTAGATGTATGGTTATATAAGAAGCGGGAGAGATGTGCTAGAACTTCGATAAATGGAAATCTAGAAACTCTGTCTTAGCCTTGGTATTGCTTATTTCCTATCATATATAATATACAAAATACAAACAGTCTGATTCTCACTCATGATATAGCATAACATTGGCTGTAGAACTTACCACTATACACAAGTCAGTCGAACTACAAACTCACCAGGTCTGTAGTAATGGTCGAGGATGCCCCAACTAAGGTATCCGCCGAGGCCATGCGCGGCATAGGGCACGCGCAAGCACGCCGCCAAGAAATCCATTGTGTATAGCTGGCACCCGTCCTGATCGTCGTACCCCGCCACCACGATATTCAACATGTTTGGTGTCTACAAGAATATATTACATAGATGTTTAATCTAGACGTCATTACTAAGTTTTATCTTGCTTTCAACAAAAGGGTAATATTAGGAAACTAGAATAGTCAACAGAAATACTTTATTTTGCAAAATTATGCTACAAAATAATTGAATAAGTCATGTGGTTTTACTATTGAGTATTGATAAGCTCTTCATCTTAATACAAGACATATTCTTTACCAAGAAAAAACTAAAGTAAAACACATTCTCTACGGGTGAAGAAAACTTGTATGCAGCGGGGCATCACAACCATCTTTACATGTGTCTCTTCGAATGTAGCCATAAAGTTTCATGTATTACTCACCCCTTTGTGCAACGCTTCTAGCATGTTGGTTCTCGCGAAGTGTGTAACGCAGGCCGTGTTCAATCCGTACTGGTTCTTTAGTCTATACAACTGAGCGTTCTTAGATACGAACTGAGCGAACTGCGTCGTATCCCCCAGGTTACCGTTCAGACCGATCAGTATTCTGTCTGATACTTCATGCAATTTGTTGCTATCTATAAATAATAAGTCTTACTGCATCACATATAATTATAATCACGAAAGATCTTTTTAAAGTTTGACTAGAAATGGTACAGTCTAGGATATTGACGGTCCAAATGAGGATTCCCCTAGCAATCCTAATCTCCAGCTGTTTTAAAAGGAATAAAAGATGGTGTTGCCTTGTTTTTTTCTTTAAGCGAAAGAAAACCGCGGCGTAAAAAACCAGGAAATACAATCATTGTCTTATTATCATCTAAAAGGAGATGAAAAAGTAGTTGCACAGGCCCTTTTTTAAGAATTTCTGTGGATGTTAAGTGAAAATAATTCACATCGTCATCTTCATAATTGTGGGGGGAGACACGTCAGCCGCATAGAGGCTGTGACCTTGCTTAGAGCGTACCATTATCTATAAACTGATAATGTTTTTGTCGTGCTATTTAAAGATATTTGCACAGTAATAGTTTCCAGTAAAAGGTTAATTACTTTGAAGAAACTTATAAGAAATACGTAAAGCAAGTTTTTTTAAAGGAAAAATTTCCCAATATTTTACTATAATTAAAGGAATATTTCAAAGGAAAAGACGTGGTAAGGTTATTTGTAAAAAACAAATGTGAAATAACTATGAAAAACCTTTAGTATTTAAAAATAATATAATAATTAAAATTGTACGGAGAGCCTGATTTTAATAAAACGAGTAGGTAATACTATAAGCAAAAGTTGTCAGTGAAAAATTAAATTAAATATGTCTAACCAGTCTTTAACAATATAACGCTTTGTGCCAATGTTTGGTCAGCAGCGACCATAACAAAGTCCTTGCATTGAATTCCGAGTAGACATTGAAATAAAATTTCCGTCATTTTTCCGACAAACAGTAAATGCAGTAACTTTTCAAGGAATTACAACTAATTAAATACCTCTTAATTAATAAATTAAAATCCAAAAATAGTTAAAAAGGTCATAAAAATAAAATTGACACGTCGACAACGTCAAAGTCTAAACATTTAAATAATCGTTTTGAAATAAAACACAAAATAAAAATAAGTGAATTATTTTGGACGCGAGTCGCATGTTATTATGCACGTATATTATTCGGAAAGATTTAGATGTAATATACAAAAAACCACATACATATATCTCAAGATTTATGTGAAATCTAGAGTTGAAAAAACTTTTTTAAATATTACGGTTAACAATGGTAACAAAAAAGTAAAAAAAAAACAAAATTCAAAATGGCGGACTATGGAACAGAAATAACGTTGTCGACAAGTTATCCAAATCATAGCAAAATATTGACACGGAATAAGTAAACGACATTCTAACATCTAAAGTGATTGCACTACAGATAAAGAGGCCTCCAACTTTTAGTCCATTTAAAGAGAGAGAGTTAAAAAAAACTCAATAAGTAGCCTAAGTGTTCTTCCAGACTATGTTCTACATTTGTGCCAAATTTAGTTAAGCTCCGTTGAGTTGTTCCAAAGATACCTTGTAAGATAGCTGTCGCCCGTGACTCCGTTTTATAAAAAACTCCGCGGAATTAACAAAACATAATTAATTGTGTTTTTCGATTTTCGATTTACATATGTACATTTATCCGACGTTCTTACGGTGACGGAAAACATCGTGATGCAACCTGCACATATCTGAGAAGTCATTCAAAGATATGTGTGAAGTCAACCAACCCGCACTTGGGCAGCGTGGTTGACTATGGCCTAATCACCCTTAACTTAGGGTAGGCTCCGAGCCCCTCGGTGGGGACGTATAGTGAGCTGATGATGATGATGATGATGAATTAATAGTCTACGTGTTCTTACTTTATAATATTAGTAACATTTGTTTACGGCTTGTTGTCAATAGTATGAACTCGGTCGGATGTTCACAACACGCAATCAAAACGTAGTTACCTTTCCGTTGAACATCCAGTTGATGCAATTCCGGAGAGATCTGTCCCATGTCTAAGGAGAGGCAAAACACTATGTTACGTGAGCACTTGTTTTTTTTTTTTACTTTCAATTGAGCTTTGCAGAGCGCATGTTTGTAATGAAAGTTGACGGAACGCGAGCAAACATATACATGATATTTGTAAATTATTAATAATTCATATTATATGTAAATATTTAATTAACTAAGCTTTCAAGATGCTTATATTAGCATCGAGTTCAGTTTTCATTGTTTGTGTTACTAATAATAGAGAAATAATATAAACCTAACCTTTGTATAACATTTTATCACATAACTAGCTATCGCCCGTGACTCCGTCCGCGTGTATTTATTAAAAACTTAATTAGTGTAGCCCACCCATCTATATATATATTTAACATACAACGAGAAAAATGCATATAACCTCACTTCTTTTAGACATTTTTAGTTAGAATCCTTTCGCGCGAATGGCGCGCTTTCATTACAAAGTCAAGTGTCAGATCGATTAGTGAGGGGACATGAACGTCGACATTTTCGTAAGGCTAGTGTTGTGCAAATACACCGGCACAGTGTCGGATTTTCTTCGTAACACTTCTTATTAATTTTATAAATGCCAATGTTTGGATGGATGTTTGTTAGAAGATATCTCCGGAAGAGCTGAACGGATATCGCTGAAATTTGACATGGATGTAAAACATAGTCTGGAAGAACACATAGACCACAAAGATTTTTTTAGCTCCGCCCGGATGGAGTCGCGGGCGACAGCTACTATACTATATTGCCTTTATGAGGTTATCGAAATTTTTAAAGCAATAACGTTAGCGAGTGTTACCTTTTTGTGTCACACCTGTTTTCAATTTAATCAGTGTTATATAAGCGGCATACATTTACTTATTTAACGATCAATTTATTGTTTTTTTAAATTTTCGTTCCGCCGATAATTGCGTAAATAACCTGTCTTGGTACACGTACGCGTACTGTGTCTGCATCTGAAAGTATTTACGAATTATTTCGGTGTTATATAAGATATCGTATCAATGAGACGTGTACCAATTTCATAAGTAACTTTAACGTGATTTTTTTCGTTATTTTTACTGTACAGATAATAGTAATTAAAACAAATGTCACCTCTAAAACTATGTTTCTTAAAATAATTCTCTTGATGAACAATTTTTCACACATAACCTAAAAAAAATCTTATAAAATCTTACTAATATCTTACTTCATAATATTATAAATGCGAATCTTTAGATGGATGGATGTTTGTTTGAAGAGATCTTGAGAACGGCTGTGTAGATGTCGCTGAAATTTGGCATAGATGTAGAACGTAATCTGGAAAAACTCATAGGTTACTATTTAAGTTTTTTCCCAGTACTGCGCGGACGGAGTCGCGGGCGAGATATAGTTATTAGATGATTTCAGTCAAAACAAAATTAACAACGAACTATTTAAATCATTTATGTGCAACTGAAGCTTATCATTCATCGTTCGAATTGTTGCATATTGTTTAGTCGTTCATCTTGATGCGATGTCGTGGGAGTCTCCCGCGCGCCCTCTGCTGGGAACATTCGAACTCATTCCCATTGAATATTGTTTGTGTTTATCGCTTAGAATTAAAAGCTCACGTTGGTAAAGCCGAGGTCAATATTTGTGTAAGACGTGTGAATGATGCTGTAGATAGCAAATACAAGTTTGCAATATACATTAATAACAATAGTTGTAGTTAGTAATGATATTGCTTGATTAGCCCTATAATTATATTGCTGTTTAAAATAATAGAGAAAACGTATATTTTTTTTCTTATGATGCTTGATGTGAAGAGAGACGAAGTACATCTTTCTTTCTTATTTCTTTCTTATTTATCCCTTCGAACTTATCTATATATAAAATAAAGTGTTGTTAGTAACACTATTTATAACTCAAGAACGGCTTTACCGATATGGCTGAAAATTGGTGAGGAGGTGGCTTAGACTAAGGATACTATTTTTTTTTCGAATTTATGCCTTGAAGAGCTGCTTTTTTTAACTTATTAATATTATAAATGGGAATGTTAAGATGGATGTGATGTGGATGGATAGGTGGGCTACACTAATTAAGTTTTTTTTATATATCCACGCGGACGGAATCGCGGGTGACAGCTAGTCATTGTTAAAAGCTGTAATAAATAGTGTTCATACAAGTTAATAGAAAAGATTTGACAGTAGTACAGTCCGCAAAAGGCATTAGCCGCTACAAGACCGGACTGGTGCAACACAATGACCACACAGATACGAAATTAAAGTTTTACGTATTCTTAAGATAAATTATTTTTTGTTTCAGATCTTATTAACATGGACATGTCACAAGTAAACTAAAATCATAAGCATTGTCTAGTGCTTTACTTTACGTAGTGCCATAGTGTGTGAAAATGCCGGACACACTCTCACTGTCGACCGGTGTCAGCCTGGGCCTGCTGGCCGGCATCGTGTCCGGCGTCTGCTATCTCATGGCTAATGGAATTAATTGGCCTAGGTAAGAATTTTTTAGTTTTAGAACTTTCTATAAACATAGTTAATAATGAATACTTATAAACAAAATATAGTTAAACTTCTACCTTAAATTTAAATTAAATATTTTCAGAGTCAATACTTTCTAAAGATTTACGACGAAGGCGCTATGAGTTTAGTAATTCTAGTAAAACTTTCGTTATTTCTTATCAGTTTTAAAAAAATATTATTATTACAAATCTACTGTTGTGATTAAAAAATAAAATAATAAAACAATTGCTATAGGACCATTCCCGTGGCAGAAGAAAGTTTCTTTGACCTTTTATTTAATACAGCGTCATCTAGCGGTAAAAACTAAAAGTAATTGAGCTCTTTATAAATATCTTACCTTTTGAACAACAGATGGCGATACTTTACTTCAAGTCGTACAATCTTCATTGCAAATCATTGTTGTTTTCAACATTTTTAGAGTAGCTCCCGTATGCGTGGTGCGGAGAGATTTACTTCACCCCTATCATAGCGCTCGCATGCGAGAGATTTTTCTTTTTTTTCCATACCGCGCATAATACGAGTCAACTGTGTCCCCGCACGATGCTTGCTTTACAATAACGACTATTGAGATTGAACCTAAAGCTTTTTAATAGTGTATCTCACATCCGCGAAGTCCTCGAGTGAGCGTGCTGTCACCTGTCAGTTTGACAACAATGCGACAACGGCGCCGCGGTGTGTTTGGAAGCCGCATCCGAGCGTGACGACCCAGCGCCCGAGCCCGCGGCGAGAACATCGCAATTATTACTGAAAAATTTAGAAATAGCTAAACGATGCTTCAATTACACAAACTATAGTCATGACTATTTTATTGAATGTTGAAATATTCAAAGTGCAGTAAAATATATATCAAAGTAGATCCATAAAAATAAATTAATAGAAATAGATAAATGCGCCTAGTTCTCGAAATACCTTTTTATAAGGAAGGTTTTTATTCCTCAATTTCGCAAAAGCCTATAATTTGCTCTTTTTATGGTTATCATTTCACTGCGTTTGTCAAAACATCACGTTTTTGAAATGCCTTTCCGCTTTCAATAACGATCCTAAGCGTAATTTACGAAAGTTACTTTCAACACAAATGCACTACAGTAAAAGTCTTATTAACTAGAAATTACTAAATGTTACTAATTAAACTATTTTATTAAGTTCGTCTATTTTCAATTTTAAGACTATATTTGTCATAGAATAAACAGCTAAATAAAGGATAAGCAGGTCTTGTACAGTCTTTTGTTATCAACCATATCATTACCGGTGTAAAGGAACTGTTTTGGTTGTAATATTACGGAGGGAAAATATTTGTCAAAAAAATAACTACGTAAAATAAAATCTGCGTAACAATATATATACTACTATAATAATGTATAAATTTAGTTACTGCAAATTCTAACTTATAAATGTGAATGTTTGTATGGATGGATAGAAAGATGTTTGTTAGAACAGAACGGCTGCATAGATCTCGCGTCATAATTGTAGAACATATCCTGGTTAAAGACATAGGCTACCAATTAAGTTTTTTTTTTAAAAATCCGCACAAACACGTGCGCTAGCTAGTAATCATAAGTAACAATAAAATTGTTCATCGTAGGTATATGACGTAGGAATAGCTAACTTTGCCTGAAGGTTTATTTTCATGACCTTACAGAAAAACTGCTCATTATGAATCATCATTCTGTTCACTATGGAGATGTGTCCGGCGTTCAGTCTGTCTGTCAGTCACTTTTTGTCATTACTCCGTTACGTACGCTTAGAAACGGAGCGGTCCACTTTAACACAGTTTTAGAACTTTTTTTCTTCACTTTTTTAATTATTCTGTGTTGTACTGTGAATGAAATTGTGCAGTTGTGCTGTGTAAATAATGATTCAGTTATTTAATGTTTATTAAGGTATTTATAATTTATATAAAGTTATATTATTTATAATTATAGATTTTTTTATATTGCTTGTAATCGAGAAATTACTAACTCTCTAGAATCGTTAAAAGACTACGATGAATGTTACGAGATTTTTATTTGCTATAATTCTCCAGGTTTATGATTAAATCTTATTTTATCTTCTTGCCTTTTTTAATAAGGTTCGTAACTAAACTCTACAATAGAAATTACAGATGCTTTAGCTACATTTAATCGACAGAGACGCACAGAGAGATATTATTTCCTCTTCCTATACGTCACCACCACACACGTCCTTTCCTAATAACAGGGTGGGAAGGGAAAGATGACTAACTTAGGCCTCCAGACAGAACTATCCCTTACTCAATACTCGATTGTGATTACTTTAGCAGTAATTAAAAATACAAATCAATATTTTTATCAATCTGCTGTCCGTGTTTTATTAATATTAGATAAAGGTAACATGACGGAGATAACATTTTTTACATATAAATTACAGATTAGAACTATTTAAGACTATAGGAACGTACGGACATCTGTAACACAGAATCTTCACTGAATGTTACGCTAATAGCTAATAGTTCCTGAAAACACTGAATTAATTCTTCAACTAATGTATAATGCGTAGTACCATAAACTAAGAGACGTCGTGGTTGCAACCATTTATTTCTTTTTTTTTGTAACTTTAACGAATTCGAATGTGGTAACACAGAGTGATTTGAACGCAAATTAATCAGAACCGATCCTATTTCAGATATAGCCACATCGAATTATAATAATATAAAATTATAAAGGCTTGCATTTTCACAACGGCCAGCTTTGCAATCAACATCTCTGAGCCGCAATAATAAAATAATCGACGTTAGTAGAATAATGATTTTTTTCATGGACTACACATATATTAAATGTTTTAGTACTAATAACATAACCTCCAAAAATCTATAATCAGTTAACACAAGTTAGCAATTCATTTGACCTTACTGTTAACAATGAACAACCAGGAACACTATTGTAGACCTTGTTATACGATAAATAAGAAATGCATACAACATTTTTCATCAACCTGCCTGTTGCCGACAGATACGGAACTTTTTACACGTTTTTATTCATAATTGTTATATTTTTGAATTTAGAACTCTATATGTTTTTTCTTCCTTTTTCTCTATTTTTAAAACCAGCAGTTGTAAATATATTCTTGTAACAGTGCGTGCTTTTCTCTTTATTTCTAATAATTCTATTCAATATTTTTATTTTATCTTTTATTATAACATATAACATAATATTCCAAAATTCATCCCAATCTAAACGCTCTTTCCATCCTTACATTTTCCGTCGTCTTTACTGCCCTTATCACTATCGAGGGTCGGCACAGTATGCACTACTCCTTCATACATCTCATCAGCCGTCATATCCGAGTCTACCCCCTTCCTACGCGTATCCTCTTTCACACAGTCATTCCATACTTTTTTTTGGTCTTTGTCTACCTTTGTAGCCATCCACATTCGATCTCAAATGCATACAACATTTTTACAAACATTAAAATCAAAATTTTTTATCCGTCTAATTATATCATGTTTTCGAATGTGCGACCGTTGTTTTCTAATCTACCATCCGTGTTTTGTTTTTGGTTGTTTGCATTTTTAAAATTGTTTAAAAAAGGTAATGTCAGCCGGCACGTCCGTTGTCTGGTGTGGGGTGGGTGGGGGGCGGTGAGGGGGGCGCGGGCGTTGTTTTGGCGCCACGCACCGGTGCGCGCCAACGCCATGTGACTTTCATAACTCACAACATCCATATAGTCGGGCAAACTTATGTGACCCGGTGCGCGATAGTGATGCTACATTATTATAGCTTATTAGTGTAAGTTAAAGTTAAAATAAAGTAAATTTCATAATATTTTTTGAGAGAACTAAAAAAATAAAATAACGTCTCTCTTATCGGGTCACTTAAGTTTGTCGCACTATAATCCAAAGGCTCATTTTTAATTTATCTATTTTGCTTGGTTCAAGGTATCAGGGTACAATGGTTTGATGGTTATTTGTAAAACAACCACATATGAATTTTTAAGTTCTAAATAGACTAAATAATAACGCTTTGTTTTATTAATTAATAATAGTTAGTAAAATATTTTCATTAAATATATTTGTAATAGATGAGGCATGTCCATGCCCCCATGTTGTCAACTCATCCGTTTAACAACATGACCTCACATCCGCTTGCATCGATCAACTGTGACCAATTCATAGTAAAAATGAAGGAATTATAGACGCGTAGACTTCAGATAAGGGCAGCTAAAACCGATGAGATTCAATTCAACAACGAATAAAAAAGGCAGATAGATATTCACCTCGATCTATAAGTTAATGTAGTAACTTCAAATTATATAATTTTTACTCCGCATTATTCAGGAAATGTGTACGTATTTTAAACGTTATAAGTTATTCTCACGTCGGTGCGTGCTTCCTGCGCACGCGCCGCCACTTCCTTCGCAGGTGGCGCACGGATCATTGCACGCGCATGACTCGCTTACACATTGCCACAGTATCACATAATATAACATAAAGAATACAGACTGTTATTGATTATTGATAAAAATCCCCACTCATTTCTTATTATCTACTGTCTATCTGTGCGCCCCCGGAAAGTAACTCGTAATTTAAATTCTCCAGCGTCAGTATCTTCAGCAGCGTCTTTGTGACAAAACGCCTGAAAGATTTATAATAGCAATCAATTAGACACAGACACTTTGCTATTGTTTTGCAGCTTTACGTTTTCCATATTTCGTGAAACCCCAATTCGCTCTTTATTAGGAGAAGCAATTTACGGACAAAAATGTTTTATGAAATTCCTTAAAATAAGTTTTGTTTATATGTCGAACAAATAAAATAGGTTTGATTCACAAATAAGGGAAACGCCTGTGTATTTCAAAGAGCAAACTATTACTTAATTATTTTTATTTCACGAAAATAAAAGTTAAATTATCTTAGAAAACGTTTAAACAAAAACATCACATTTACTTCTTCTTGGTCCCTGGTTTTAATGAAGTCTTGCTCGGCAAAGAAGGCGACTGCTTGGACATGGGCGAGGTGTGCCGGCTGCCATCCTCTGACAACATGTAATTCCTGATCCTCGTCTTCAGCTCGGCGTATAATCTATTCTCGTGATTCAGCTGAGGCAACGCCGTCACTCGCCGGTCAATTTCCTAAATAACGAAAGAAAATTATATAAAAATATTGCCTATTAACTGGCAACTGCTGGATCGTTGACCTCTAGAAACAGGAAAGATATTTTGCATAGCCAAAACTCCTGGTAAAAATGTACAATGTTGTGGGGTTTGATTCATATTAGGTATTTAAATTGTTATCAAGAAAGCAGTAAGCCATATAACATCAAATGAAACTGTATAATTGACACACAGAAGCTTGTTTTTTGAAAGTAAATATCAATTACTCTGACATTTGAAACATTTCAGAGGTGTAAGCTCGGAGAGTGTCAACCTTGGGGTCCTGTCGCAACGCACGTCACATTACAAACTCCTATGAAACTGCGAGGGCTAAGCAATATGTTGCACAACGATTGCTGCTGGCTACTGGATGTGGCCCTCAGAAGCCCGCTCACTTAACATTACTAAATAACTGGAAGTGACAAACGCAGATTGAAAGTAAAACTGGATATAAAAAGTTACACTGTAATCTTTTAGTATACGAATTTAATCTCTACAAAGAGGTAAATAAATAAAATATAGTGAACATTCAAAACTATTATAGTTCTAGACATGCTATTACCAAAGCTGGCTTTTTAAATTAGCACTGTGAACAAGTGGCAACGAATCGTAGTTTACAGTTTTGTTATCCTATCTATTGAAAGGTACTTAAATATTGTCTGCTATATATTTAAGGTCGTGACTACTCATTTAAATAAACTACATATATCCCAATGAAATATTATAAATGCGAATGTTTGGATGGATGGATGAATATTTTTGAAGGTCTCTCTAGAACGGCTAAACGGATCTCGATGTGTAGACATAGTCTGCAAGAACACATAGGTTACTTTTTTTTTAATTCCGCGCGGACGGAGTTCGGGTAGACAGCTAGTATTTTGTATATCTATATCAAACAGACCTGTAATACAATAACATAGTACGTCTTTCTATGCTCGAAGTATTCCGCTCCGTTGGTATATGGTGGCAGACTGAACAGCTTCTTCAGAACCCCATCTTCATCACAAATGTCGAAATGCGTATATATGCCGAGCTTGCACTTCTTCCTAATGTACTCCAGCATAACCCTCACGTGGCAATCTGGGTTGAGGAGTAGCGTCTCCTCCACTGACGAGTCTAGTTCGGATTCTGAAGACCGTTTTCTTACTAAAGAATAAGATAATTCTGGCTCGTCTCTATATATTAAGTAAATGAACATAATTTTTATTACGATATAAATTAAAAGACTTAATTATTTGACGTTTGTGACATAATGACATTTTTAATTATAATAAAAAGCAATGCAAAAAAAAAAATAATTTCAATCAAATAATATTGCAAAAGATAAATTTATACTATCCTACTAATATTATAAATGCGAATGTTTGAATGTTAAAATAGCTCAACGGGTCTCAATAATTTGGCACAGATGTAGAAAATAGTCTAGAATAAATCAAGTTTCGTTTAATTCCACGCAGACGTCGCGGGCAACAGCTAGTATATTGTAAGTTTGTTCAACAAAAATGCATAATAACGTCTCACTTGTGATTCTTGGTACCCACAAATTCATACCTTTGTTTTAAGAAAAACATTATTTTCACAATATTAACATCTCTATCTCTAATCATAAGTGTAGCATTCGTTGCGTTATATTTGTCTCGTTCACGTACCGACACGTTTTGCCGGTCCAAAGGTCTGACATCGACTGTCCCCTCTCTCCGTCATATACTTATGGCGTGTACCGTGACCGCTCAATACAAACAACTCTACGTTTATGCATACACTACAATAAGGATAAATCTCTATTGTGTTTTAGTGTTTAATTAATATTCGTACAAGTCAAAATAACAAGTCAAGGTCGTTATCGTTCAACGAACCAATCATATCAGTTTTTAAATGTACAAACATATACACATTCATTTTAATAAACGAGAAAGTAACAATCTGTTTTTAAAGACTACAGAGTCAATCTCCCCCTTTTTTATATCATAAGGTGGCAAACGATCGAGCGGCCACCTGAAATCGCTGAAATAGCAAAGTGACCATTGGCCATAGACATACGCAATTACGTATGCGTTGCCTAACTTTAATCAATGGAAGAGAGGATGCACAGAAAGAAAATATTTTCCCTTTCCATGCATCCTCTCATCCGGAAAGTCCACTTCCACTTCCCATCCTTTCCTTATAAGAAAAAGGGTGGGAAGCGAAAGAGGACTGAATTAAGCCTCCGGGACGCACACTCATCAGACGAAACGCGGAATTCCTTCCACTTGACGCCTATCTTCTGCGTGGTCGTGGTATTTCACCGGGCGAGCCGGGACAATTCGTGCGAAGATGTTAAAGCGGACTGTACCACTGTTTACCTCTACCTCGATATACTAGCTTTAGTTCAGAAAATTCGGTCTAATACTTTCTTACATTTTTATTTGTGTTACATTTCTTATAGCTAAATATTTTATCAATTACGATAACCTATTTAGTAGGAAGTATCTTTAGGTAACTGTACAATGACCTGAATTGATTAGAACGAACATGTTTATATAGTTCTTCATATGATTGTTATTGGCAAAATGTTCGTTAATAAACATTGTATTAGATCTTTCTTTAGTAAGTAAATAAGTCCTCGTATTATTTCATAATGTTCATAATTTATGTTTAAACTGGTGCAACTAAACCCTGACTTACAAGATGTTCCAAAACATCAACTAACCTTTCTAAATTTTAGCAGCAATATAACTACTGTTGCAAGCAATTCAGTCATTTTACATTTAATAATACGCGAATTACACTAGTTTTGTTTGTGAACGACGTGTATTAAACATATTGGATAGTCCATAATGTTTCTTTGACTTTTACCTTTTAATTTATAACGTAATCAAATGAATTTTCTGTGAGTTATTAAAGGTTTCATAAATAGTATTATATAAACAGCATATTAATTAGTTTCCTTACACAGAATTCATTTGAATTGTTGAGAAATAACAATAATAAATATGAAATTAAAACTAAACTTCATAGTATAAATGACTCAGCGTTGAAGCAATTAGTTTCGAATATAATCAAAGAGAAACAATAGGCGCTAAGAATAGCGCGCACATCCGATTTAGCGTATGTATCGCGAGTAAAGGTCAGCGCATTCGACACCCGGCTAGCGCAGCCTTGACCGCAAAACGGTTGCGCTCACCCGCATTTCGATCGTTTCCCAATGCTGGGAATCTAACTAAAACGATTCATATTTCATAAGAGCCGCTTCTTACGACACGCGACGGCCGCCGGCGGCGCGGTGCAGTGCGTTGCGGCTCCGATAAGCATTGCATTGAACACACGAGTGTCGGACCGCGCGCCGACGGCACGGTATCACTGCCGAATCGATGCGAATACGACGTGCGTAACGCGAGCGCTTGAAATACAAACATGGTCTAATCCAAAATGGCATTATCTGGAGTGTCAACCCTGGCCACGTACGTCGCCGCGTGGCCGCCGCCCGGCCCGCTGCATAGCTCCTTCCAGTTCCACCACCAGGGTTCAAACTTCGCCATATTCGTGATATTCTTCGCCCTGTGCATGATGGAGGTGGTAGTGCTGAAGATAATCACGGAGGAGCAGAGAGACCAGGGCTCAAGGAGTGTAACTTCCATGTGGTTCGACATGGATGAAGACTGAATGACGAAAGTGCTGTGTGTTGCAAGTGAACATTAAAATATGTCACAATCGACTCTCGTCGATAACTTCTGCAACAATTTCGTTATAAGCAAATATGGAAAGTGTTAAACACGAAGGACTGATGTAAATAATTAATTGGTAAACATGTTCGTGTAAATGAGTACAAAATTATTAATTTTAGGCAAAATAATTTAAGATGGTAGTCATTTTTGAAATAAAATATATTTTAAAATTAAAAAATTATAAAAAATTATAATTACAAAACTAAAATATTATAATGGGACACAATGAAAACAAAATAACAATATTAAAATCATGAGTAATGCAAGGAAAAAACAGCTTATATCTTTTTTGTGCTGCTATCCAGTCGTAAATAATTTTTTTCGTTACTTTTACAATGGAACATCAACATAGTGTATTATCATTAAATTTCAAATGAATTTAAAGTTTAATTGAAATTTTTATTTCATATTTTTTGTAAAACACAGTTTAAAAATGTTTGCGTCTGTTTAACCTAAAACCTATCCGCATTTAAATGTATTTATAAACATACATTTTAAATGTAAACAATCAATTTCATAATAAAATAATATTTACATTATTGTAAATGATATTACCAATAACTTTGTTTGAAATAGATAATTATATTTTGTTATTAAATTGTTTAATATTTAATTGTTTACGAAAACATTGTTTGAAATATATTTTGTACGTGATGTTTTATCTTTTTATTTAAACTAGTGGTCACCCGTGACTTCGACAGCGCAGGATTAAAAATAAGTTACCTAATAATATGCTGGCTTGCATCAGCTGCTTTCCAGCCCAAGTCCCGTCAAAATCGGTCCAGTTATTCCGGAGATTATAGGGAAAAAACGCGGCCATACAGACTTACAAACAGAAAAAAACTTTATCAAATTGGTTTATCAAATATATCATGTGTACGAAATATGTTTTTTTTTTGTCGATACATACAGACACTTCAATTTTATTAACATGTTTAGATGTATTGATTAAAACTTTTATGGACAATTTTGTTTGACTTTTCACTAATGGTATAAAAGTACATTTGAAATCTGTTTATTTGGTTGTGATAAAATGGATTAGCTTCATAATTAAGATAAGGACCGAGAAAATAGTTTCACTAAAATTGGCAGAATACTTTTTATACCAGATAAAACTTCGATCCTGTTAAGAAAAATAATAAGAAAGAGTTTAGATGTTTTTTTTAAATCATAAGGTGGCAAACGAGCGAGCGGCCACCTGAAATCGCTGAAATAACGAAGTGACCCATAGACATACGCAATTGCATATGCGTTGCCTACTTTTAATCGACGGCGGAGAGGATGCACAGAAAGAAAATATTTTCTCTTCCCATGCATCCTCTCATCCGGAAAGTCCACTTCCACTTCCCATCCTTTCCTTACAAGAAAAAGGGTGGGAAGGGAAAGAAGACTAAATTAAGCCTCCGGGACGCACACTCATCAGACTGTACGCGGAATTGCTTCCACTTGACGCCTGTCTTCTGTGCGGTCGTGATATTTCACCGAGTCAGGCCATTTCGTCCGAAGATGTTAAAGCGGGCTCTACCACTGTTAAATATCTCGATTGAAAGGCTCAGAATTGTTTATACCTAGTTTATTGTATTACGATACATATCATGGTTACTACTGTTTTACATTTTGTAAAAAAAAAATATTAATTATGTACGCATTGAACGAACCTTTTGTGTTAAATAAAATAAATGTCGAATTTCGCGGTTCAAAAAACTTGCGGTCATTCGCATTTAGATTAATTTGGGAAAAACAAAAGCTGCCTCAAATCACAAGGACAGAACTCCACTATACTTGTATGAATACACATTGTCACCCCTTACATTCTCTTTTACAAAACGCAGAATGTTCATGAGTTTTTGAGACAAAAATCCCCGTATAAAAAATGTTATGTCAAAGATAATAAGAGGGTTGAGGGGAGATGTTTTATACAGAGATTTTGGTCTAAGAAACCAACGGTGAATTAAGTATCTTACTAATACTATAAATGCGAATGTTTGGATGTATGTTTGTTAGAAGGTATCTCCAGGTGTCTTCATGAATATGTCATTGTAGATCATTGCTTGGAAGAACACATAGGCTACTAATTAACTCGTCGACGGAGTCGCGGGCGACAGTATTACGTAGTACGTTGCCCAGAATATTCGTCGTAACGAACATGGAAATCCGTTAAGCATTTCATTTGTGTTTTGTTTCACGTGTGGCGCAAAAATCGTGAGAGAGAACTTATCATTAGTTAATTTTTACAGATGAATAGATTAAGACATTTATTTTAAATATTTACAAGAGAATTTTTTACGCTATAATAAAACATTCATTATTTATAATTTTAAATGTAAATCATGCAATAATACTTAATTTAATTATCATTGTGTTTTTTATTAACAGAATTTTATTGTTTTAATGTATTTTGCACGTAAAATATGAAGGTCGCATCGCATTACATGTAAATTATTCGCAGTTTTTCAGAAACAATAATTAAAACACTTTATTTTTTCACAAACTGTTTCAGACAAAAAATTAACTTCCGTATCTTACTAATATTATAAATGTGAATGTTTGTAGAACAGCTGCATGTATCTCGCTGACATTTGACGTATATATAGAACATAGTCTGGCATAATACATGGGCTATTAATTAGAGTTATTTTTAACTTCGCATGGACTCAGTCGCGGACGACAGTTTGTTGTGAAAAATTAATAATTAAAAATAGAACAACATTTACGTTAATTTCCATGACAATTTTAATAAATATTATTTTATAAAAATTTAGAAACAGAATATTAATAAATATTGAGAAATCATTAAGAGTATTTTTGCATTAAAAATTAACGTTTAATATAAACATACAAAAATAAAACTTAAGAACCAAAATAATTTTGGTACAGATTAAAAATTTCGTCTCCAACGATCATCGGTTCCATGGTGTAATGGTTAGCACTCTGGACTCTGAATCCAGCGATCCGAGTTCAAATCTCGGTGGAACCTGACATTTTGTTAACGCAAAGTAAGCCATTTTCAAATAAAATTTAAATTTAGAACACAAGTCTGCCTACGCCTAATTTGTAAAGCGAATATTACCACCGCTTTCTTTTTGCAATCAAAATTCCCTTATTACGCGCAATAATAACAAAATTAAAGTTTTACAATACTTAAAAAAAAGAAATCATAAAATAGAAAGGTCAATCCGTACGATCCTAAGATCTATCACCCTGTATATAAGCTAAGATGGTTCAGCCCTAGTAACAACCTTGATGTCATTAATATATCAAGTAAACAGAGTGTATCTTTGTTTACATTAATATAATATCCATGATAAAACATTCATGACGTAAAAACACTCGCCCGTGACCTCGTATCTAATAGAGTGTGGGTTTCCATTGCAGAAAACCTGGTATAAAACATTGAATTACAAAATGAAACGGCAATAAATCTCAGAAATAACATTATTAATGGTGGACTGATTTAAATATAGCCTACTATTTTGGACTTGTGCCATGTAATGTCACAAGAAGGATGTCATAATTAACGTACTTGTTAAAAAGTTTTTGATAATTGAGTTTGCTAGAGACAGAACATTTTCAAGTCTCCTAGCCCCTACTAAGTTAAATAAACTCGAACGTTTTGGATTTTCTTTATCAAAACTTCTAGTTTTCTTGCTTTATTTATTTTGTTTTATTCATAAAATATTTTCCTCCTGCCTGGATAATGAGCGTACAGGCATATTAGATAATTTTTTTGGAAATAAATTGAAAATAACGTTTTACAACATACAAATAATAAAGGCAACTAATAATTATTAAACAAAAAAAAACACGTGAACAAATACAATCAAGACATCAATCAAATTATTTGAATTATTTAAATCGAGTTTGAGTCGAGTTCAACAACACAATGGTAGCGCTACTCTCAATTGTGCAATGGACAGTTCATTGACCCGCACTGCAGCCAGCATTGCCCAATGCAATGCAAAACACGTCGTCCTAGGGAATGTAGTTGTTGCCAATACAAATTAATATTGCGTAATAAACCAAACTAGATTAAACAGATGTACTTACCATATTAAACTTTCAGATAAGGAATCTTTTTAATTTTTCGCTGTTAAAATCCAACATTGAATTATATAAAAATTTAAAGAATTTGTGAAATTATCAATTTAATAAAATCGTGTATATTGTTGCAGAGATGAAGAGATCTATAGAAAGCACAAACAACGCAGCATAACATCATCTGCTAAGCCGAGCGTGTGCGTCCAATGCGGGGGACACACTGAGGGCGGTGTTGTTCCCTGCGTGTGTCACAACCACAAGTAAGACACCGTTTTAACGAAACACACGTTGCCGGAGGCCTAACTTTAGTTCTCTTTTCCTTCCCACGATTTTCTTAAAAAGAATAGAATGGGAAGGAGAAGCGGATTTGATGGAGGAGGGGATGGGGATGGAACAAACTTTATGCAACGTAGACAACGCATCTGCAATTCGGGATGTCTATAGGCAGCGGTCATTCTGCCATTTCAATATGTGTCGTGGTTTAATCATTAAAACCTTAATGCCATATTGTAATAATAACGCAATAATCATTCATTTTCCCATAACTTGACTATAAAAAGCAAAAAATCACGAAGGATTATAATGCAACACTTTTAAGTTTGTAAAAAAATATAACTTTTTCAGCAATGGTTTGATACAGGCTTATAAATATGATAATGTGTTTGATAAACCTTTTCTCTTAACGTTTCTTTGATAGAATACACAATATTTTTACAGGCCTGTGAAGTTCGAGTCTGGTGCATGGTTCCTGCGGCAGGCGCAGCGCGCGCTCAGCATGATGCCCTGGTCCCTCAGCACCGACAAGCTGGAGCAGATTGGTAAGATATAATGCCATTCAAACTTCATGGCAACTCAAGCTTGCTCCATACCAAAAACCCGTACTCTGTAGAGCTGTACAAAAAATGTGTACAGGGTAATAACTAACAGGTCATATGCCTACAAACGTACGATTTAACTGTACTGTTAACATTGTGCACTTAAAACAGAAGGTTTGTAGCGAGCTTTACAATTACAAGAGAGATGCTACACAAAACACAATCTTAGGTTTCTGTGGAGGCACACTGCTGTGCGCGCTTTAGTCACTTGCAATGCCCCGTCCCCGGTTACAAGGATATACGTTTGCACTAATCTCGAGCCGCTATAAAAGATTGAATCTTACTACCCAATTATTTAAAATGATGATGTAAAGTGTAACGTTTGTGTTATTGTGCAGAGGAGGAGTGCGAGCCAAGCTCGAGCATGGGCGACGTGTCCAGCGAGCTGCACAGCATCCGGGAGTTCCTGGAGCTGCTGTCAGCGCGGCTGGCCGGAGGCGCGCTGGAAGGTACCAGGGTCGCGCCGCTATATGACCATCCCGAATGTACGTACAACTTTTTATTTGATTTCGATCTCAATTTCGAATAAGTAGTGACATCTATCGATATTTTTTGCAATGCTGCTTCATATGAATCATTATAGATGGCGCTAATTTAAATTTCATATCTGAAATTAAACTACAATTGATTAACAACATTTTTTTAAACTGCTGATTAAATTAATATGTTCACCATCTTAAAATAGTTCTATTGTCCATCCAATCCATTTGTTTTAATAGTTGCTGTTGCTGTGTTGTAGACAAAGCCATTTCAATAACTAGCAGTGCCTGTCAATTTTAACGAGCAAAATATATTTGCAACATCCACTATAAAATTTGTCGCAGCAAGTTTTCCCGCGAACAAAATTACTGTATTAAAATTTAGTATCGCCGTGAATTAAGAATTAGAATCTGTTCGTTATGTAGACATGTAAACTTGTCTAGATGCAAAGATGTTCGAGCGCCATCATGCGAAACTTCGCGGTGCGCTGACCGCCCTCTCCACCGCGCTACGAGACGCGCTAACACGTAAGACACGGAGACTATGGGACTTAGCATGCACCATGTTCTAGCACAAAAGGCGCCTACAGAATATTATTAGCACTATTCCACAGTTTTACAACACGAAATGCTTTTAGCACGACTTTTAGATAGTGAAATATAGTAACTGGTGTATTGTAAATTAAAACATCTCTTAGTTTTACGTATGCCTATTATTTTTGTATCCTTCTTGTTGATATTTTAAGCATGATGCATGCATTTACGACCATAATCAATAGTTTCCTTTAAACCCTATGTTTTAATAAAATAATTATAGTATTATATAAATAGGGGGCAAAGTTCCCAAACCGCAAAACTCGTCTCGTCAGCCATTACTTATGTTTTTACTTGTACAACTTTTTGCCGTAACAGAGAATGAGATAATTTTACCACGAACGGGTTTTTTCGCGTCGCGTATGTTTTATTACATCGATGAATTCTGTAAGTTGATGTCACTTCGTTTAAAATAGTAATATCAAAATAAAACTTACAATGAACATTAAGAGCTACTGTAAAATAAATAATTTTAACGACTTATTTTTTAAACCTCACGGGAAACTTGTGTTTTCAGTTACTATCATATACTACATTAATCGTTTAAAATAAGATTAGTTAAACTTTTCCTAAGGTGCTCTAATCTATAATGTTAAAGCAGATTAGCGGTTGCCCGCGACTTCGTCCGTGCAGAATTACAAAAATAGCCTTTGTTAATCTTGCACACTTATGTTATCTTCCAGTAAAAGTCCTGAAAATCGGTCCAGTGTCGGCGATTACCCCAAGCTGATTTGCATACAAACAGACATATAAACATTGCTAAAAGATTTCGTTATCAGTAACGCATCATGTTTGCGAAATATGAATTTAATTGTAAGATAAGTACAGATTTAAATTTACGATCTACGCGCTATCTGAAACTTTAACTATTGGTTTGTCACGCTTAGATTATTGGTGTTCAATTAAATTAATGAGCAATTGTTCTGAAATTACATTTTGATATAATTTCAAGGGTTTAATAATATAAATAAAGTCGGTGAAGTCTACATCCGTTAGTTTATAACATGCCGACTATTTTTTTTATTTTAAAATTATTTGTTAACTCGCGGATACATATCATTAGGTAATACGTATTTTTACACGCATAAATAGTTATCCAGTCCATTGTATATTAAAGACTATAAGAAATCATAGCGCTAAATGGAAATACGTAATTCCTTTTAACCATTGTAATAAGTACCTAAATAAATGAAAGGAATTGTGATATTTATGTACATTTTTATCGTGTGGAGTATACAATGGACGTTAAAGCTTTTTACTGAAGTCGATAAAGTTATTTCATTTGTTCCCATGTAGCCTTTACTGCGCTACGCTGTACACTGTTGGACGAAATAATGGGCTTATAATATTATTTCTATAAAAATATCTAACTGTTTCAAATATTATTTATGAGGCGTATTATTTTGAAAAGCATTATAGACAAAAGATTTTTTTTGTTTTATTGTAATATTTTGTTAATTTATAAGCTACTTAACCTAACCTACCTAATTACATCATTTATTACTAAAAGCTAATAAAAAACAGTCCGCTTTAGTAATAAATTAAAATAAATTATTGACTTATTTATTTTGTCCTAAAGTGTATTCAAGTTACTCCATAAAACGGTCCTCAATTCCCAACACGATCCGGGCTAGGATTTTGTTCGACTTTTTATTAAGCAAGTAGCTCGGAGAGCGTGGGATCGCAAAACATAACCGCAGTAAAAAAAACTGAACGCATAACAGCTCGTTTTACTGAGGTGAATAAAATGGAATTAAAAAGTAAACTCGCATAATGGATAAGAGGTGATGATGGTAACCAAACTTTGGCCGTATATAATGCTATTAGTACTAAGGAATATTGCCTAAATCTGAAAAAGTTCCAAATTTCTTTGTGGTCATGGTCCAAATTGTTATCTTCTTATTGCCCACAAAAATAGCTAGATCGTTGTTTGAAACAATAAAATCATCAAACATAAGAAGAAAGTACGATTCCAAATGTGGCAAATGCAAAGACATGAAAGTTGCTGGGAAAATGTCGCAGTCGTGGGAAAATATAGTCAATTCTTAGATGAGATATTTACGCTGTTTCTTAATCTAGATATGTTTCTACTAAAGTAAATTTTAAAAGTAAATTTTAAATACATGTTACCTAAAGATAAGTTTTATATTTGAAAAGCTCTTAATAGTTTTGTATTGGTCAGAAGTGATATTAAACTTTGGCCACCACAAGTCAATTTGCCAAAGAACCTTTTGCTATAAGAATTTAAAGTATCGTGACATCATACAATATTATATTTGTTGTGTATATGCCATAGTATTATTTTTAACAAATTCAAATATAATGACAAAAGTTCAGGAGCACATATTGCGACAAATAATTTCGTCATTACGACACGCGGAGCTCAAGTTATAAGATATTGGATTTTTAAACTATATGAAAGTAACTTAAATAAAGTTATTATTAGTTATTCAATTCTTAAAGATCCAAGATCACATGCCAACCATCATTTTAACAAAATCTTGTGTTGCTTTAACATCATTATTTTTTTAATTTACTCATCTAACACAGATGAAAATTCTCTCTAACATAATAGTCTAACATAACTAGTTCCATTTGAAAACTTAAATATAAAATAATGGTTGGAATCCTTTAGGTACTTTTAGAAAAGGCGGACAAAAGAATGCAGTCCACATTACCTTTCCTCCAAAACATGTTATCTTCTTTAACTTGCACCACACACAAGTATACGCTTTGCGTAGCCGCCAGCTGATTGCATGATTGCTCCTGTCACTAAGAGACATAAGATGAATGCCTATTTAACCATCACTCATTATCATCAGCGCTAACCTGAACTTGTTGCACAATATACTATAAAAATGCTTTAGCCGTGACCCGTACTTTAAGCTTTTTCTTACACTATCCAATATTTTTTATTACTAGCTATCGCCCGCAACTCCGTCCGCGAGAGATTAAAAAATATTTTGTAGCCGATTCAGCTCAGACCTACTCAATATGCTCACAAAATTTCATGAGAATCGGTCAAGCCGTTTCGGAGGAGTATGGGAACGAAAATTGTGACACGAGAATTTTATTTATAAGATAAGATGGAAAACGAACAGCGAACCGCTGGACATCGTCATGTTAATGATAAATGAATAAATCCCAATAAATATGTACTTTCTATTTTATTATAAGTTTCATCTTCACGATAAAATTGCGAATATTTTAGTTTATATTACGGCGAAAGTGGTTTTTAAATATGAATGTAGTTTTTACAATAGATATATATGTTAAAAGAATCCATAACATCTTATGTAGTGTAAATTAGCACACATAGTGTCACCTAAAGACTACATTTGTTATTATAAGTGTGCAAAATCAATAATTTAATCTACTAGGATAAGTCAAAGGAAGTCTTTACGTGTCTGGTTCCTTGTTACATGACACCGCCCCTCGAATTTCCCGTATGGCTTTAGTAACGTAATAGATTACTAAAGTTTTAAACACTTCCTTTTTTTTCGGATCACAACGAGGGCTGTCACTTGAACGATCGAAGTCGTTGTCACATAAAAAAAACGACATCCAATGGACGTAATTTTTTTGACAAGTCGTAGATTCGCCACCAGTGTTTGGGTACATTAAATCGGCAACCCTAATCTTAACTGTGTTTGTTATATCTGTGATCTGTGTTGAATTATAAACAAAAAAACTAAAAAAACCATTGGATGAGAAATTACTATGAAACGATTTAAAATGTGCAAAGTTTATCCAAAATTGTATACAAATTGATTCACTTACAAGCGGAAATTTTCCACGAGTAGAAAGTAAATAAAATATTGATTATATTAAAAAATTGGTGATTGTTATTGTTTGTTGTAATGGATCCATATAATGCATAACAAATTGCAGCGAATAAGAGACTGCGTAACAGTCATCAGATTAACATTTCGTCGGTAAATTCGAGGCAATAATGCTTCGAATAGTAATCGAAAGTTAAATTTATAGAAGAAGCTTCATTATTGATGCAATCTTTCTATCTTTATAGAAAAAAAACATTAAGAAATCAACATATTAAGTAGCCAGTCTTTGTAAAAGTTGCATGTTTACTTTAATTAATTTAAAGTCACTTTTAAATTAATATTTCTTCTATTGCTCGAGTCTAGTTTTTTACAATATGACCCACACCGAACCTCTTGTGTAACTTTTGGCAAAAACAATATTTGAAATAAATGAAACGATGAAAGAAAAAGGAATTTTCTATACAGCCAGTAAACTAAAGGCTAATTTAAAGCATTCGAAACGCATTTGGTCCGATAACAGGCCGTTTCGGTCTCATTAATAATTTTGAGGTTACATACACGAGTATTCGGTTATATAACCTTTTGCAAGTAGGTGATAACTATTTTAACCTGTGTGACTGGTGTCAACGC